AGCAAGGTATTTTGACATTTTTAAAATAAAATATTTCCTATGATTTACTTTTTGACATTTGGTGAATATCGTCCTCTGTTATAGTAAAGTTCTTGTTTAAATTTCATGATAGAAAAAGTCAGGATATATCTTTTATATAAAGCATAAGTTGCTATATCATTATCTGTACAAGTTATGATTTTAATTATTGGAATAATCTCTAAAACCAGAAGAAAATCTGTATGTCATCCACAAAATGAGCAGATTTTTAATTAATTTAAATCTTGGTCAATTTTTCCAGGTATCATTAACTTTAGTGACAATTTTGTAATAAGTAATGTTTTACTTTCATTATTAAGTTTTGATTGATATGCATGTACTCTTAAATTTTAGTTACTTTTTATTTAAATATAAGAAACCCCAAAAAACAAAATTATTGGTGAACAATACTTCATTGACTAAAAAGAAAATTAAGATAAAGACTTCCACATTAAGTTATTAAATTTTTGCCACTATTTCTTTTATGTTATTTTTCTTACTTTTTATTGTAAGTTTATTTTTTTATTTCCCATCTGCCCTGCTTAAATGCTGTTTTTTTACTAGTAGTTTTAATAAGGTTCAAATTTCTTAGATGAAGCATTTTCAATTATTATTTTTGACTAGTATTTCTTTCATCTTCATTTCTCTTGCTTTTTACTTCAACTCTCACATGTAAGAAGTAGAAGTTTAGAATATAGCTATATGATTAAATTTGAATGACTCCCTACGTTAGGCTTCTCATATGAGGCATTATTAGTTATTACTAATTTTTGTATAAGTATTTTTTAAACTTATTTCTGCAACTTTCCAGATTATTATTCTATGAATACTAAGTAAACACTTTGGATTAGAAATAAAGAATCAGTTTATTAAAATGCAACAGAAATAAAAATGAAATTAATACTAATAAAAAATTAGTAATAATGGACAATATTTCAGATAATAAATTTTATAACCATCTCATTTAGAGAAGTATAGGACTGTTCATATTTTTTCTGAAACACTCATGGCTATGTACAATATAACCTTTTCCTACATCTTTCAAAGTATAGTGTCTGTTTTTATCAATATTATGAAAATGTGTAAAGCAGTGCAATTAGATGATTTTAAAAAGGAGAAATTTTTCTAAAAACAATGACAGTAGAACATCCCTTATTTTTAGCCATTGTTATGCGTTTTAAATTTTTTTATATTACTTAGCCTTTTAGACAAAAAGAAAGTGCGTTAGTAGTAACAAATATTATAATTACATTTTTGACAACTTATGACTTCCCAATAACTTATTGGTTACTTCAAAGTGGTGTAATAGTTAACAAGCTTGTCTTGCTAGATCAGTTATGACTGATTAATCTATTTGATTCTCACTGGGTGCAGTATACTTTTCACCTTGTACCACATCTAAGCTACACCTAATAAATTGCTATATATATATATATATATATATATATATATATATATATATATATATATCAAGAAGAATTTTGGAAGAAAAATGTATGACAAAGTTAGAAAAGTTTTTGTGGGACTTTAGTGGACTAGATCAGTTTATGCTGAGATATATATATATATATATATATATATATATATATATATATGATCTGAGCTTAACATATTTTAAAATTTCTTTTAGCAGATGCTCCTCACCCTTGGCATAACTTGGGAGTTATAGTTTTTTGTTTTTTTTTTATTTAAAAATAATACCCCACCCAATCATGAAATTGTTGGCATATGTTTTTGATAACTTTTAAATCCATTTGTAACCAACATTTGCAACATTAATAAATCTGTGCTCATGCTAAATTTTAATTTGAAATGTCCCCTGTATAATGTTGAATTTATGTGATTAATATCCAACACTGAATTAAGTGCATAAATTAAGAATGATATTATGTTGAAAAATAAATATTTGTTTTTTATGTCATTCAGCTGTGGACTTATTGATGTACCTACATCTTTTTCATGGATATTTATCTTTAGAAATAACATTTTTTTCTTTGTGATGTTTCAGGAGTTTGACTTTTATTACAATTCTTAATTTCTGAATAGAATTCTTTCCTTTTTTTTTTTTTTTTTTTTTTTTTTTAATGATTTCCCCCTTAAGAAAGGCAATAAAGTCACTAAGATGCAAGGGGCATATGAGAAATAGAAAACATTATTAAGAAAAGAGAGATTGGAGGGTGGAAAATAATTCTTCTTCAACAAGGATTCATATTTTGAACTCTATCAAGACTGAAAAGTGACGTCTGGGCATCTCCTACCCAAATATGGCAACAGAACTCCATTTTTGGCCTGATCTGGCTCTTATAAAGGTAGAGGAAAGCACAAGAAGTCAGGTACTTACTGGAGTGATCATTTTACCTGCATCTTTAGCAATGGATTGTATATAGGAGTTCCACTTGAGGTCAGGTGTGAGTTTGAGGCCCAATATCCTCAAGGCATAGTGTCTCCTGTGACTAGTTGTAGCTCAGGATGTGATTGGGGGGACTCAATGTAACCAGCCAGTCTTTTTCCCACTGTGAAGTTAGTGTTAACTTTTTTGAGAGAAGACTTGTTTTTATCAGAATGTATGAGATAATCTTGCAAAATAAATTTATAGATATGTGAAGGCTCATATTACTGCCTGTCATAAGCATTTACACTGGTATATCAAATATGTGACCAACAAAATGGATTAAAAAAAATAAATAGCATGGACAATTTTAAATAGGTGAAATTTTTAAATGTTATATGTGTAAAATCTTTGTTTAAAAGATGCCTTGGTGGCATCTGCTCAATATCAAGTCACTTTTTATTTATAGAATTTATCTGATAATTATTTGCAAACGCTAATTATCTCTAATCTTAGGATACTTCCTTGCTTATTCGTATGATTTTCTTAAGGGAAATAACTCTTCAGTTGGGGAATAGACTTAGGGTTATCTTCTGGACAAGCATTTTCTTTTCTTTATTTAGGCAATTTACATTAAATTAAGAATGATTCAAGGTGTATTGGAAATTGTTTCAGTCCTCAAGTTAAAGCATTTTACCAGTATTGTAGTGACAAAAATTATGCTGACATGCTGTTTTTGCTGCGTTTCAATAACAAACACACAGAAATTGAATCATTATTATGTAGATAAATCTACATCATTTTTTTATTTTATTTTTATTTTTTATTATGCTGTTTTTGCAAACCAGAATGTCTTTTGGTAGATATAAACAAGTATGAAGAATCTAATGTTTGGTTTTTTTTTGTCTATAGATGTGTATCTAAGAAGAAATTCCAATTTCTAGCTAATGTTTTGATAAAACTCAGAATATATTATAGTTAATTACTTAAATGTTCTTTTGGGTTCAGAAGGATTTACTACGAAAAATTTACAGAAGCATAATTTTGAAACTAAATGCACTAATTACTTTATACAAGAGTAAGTCAAAAATTATCCGTGCCTTTGTAATATTTGGAATTATTGGTATGAGTGTGGATAATTCTTTTTACTTTCCCTCATATGTGAATATATATAAAATTTGTCAATGAGCAGATTGATTTTATATTCAGCACCTGTACTCCAGAGTTTTGCAGACGAACCTTTGTGTAATCGTTCAGTCCACTTGTCAGGAGGTATCAGCAACACACACACACACACACACACACACACACAAACACACACATATATAGGGCACTTCAGTGTGTTTCGTTCACTATGGTGAGCAACCTTGTTTTGCTAGATCATTTACGACTGACGAGTGAGTTTGATCTTCATTGGGTGTTCCATACTTTTGGCCTTGTGTCACATCTAAGCTACACTTCGTAAATCGCTATATATATATATATATATATACACACACACACACACACACAAAGGGTGCAATTGACAAATTGTCGTATAAATTATACAAAACTGAAAATAACACTGGCATCTTATTTTAACAGATATATTTACCAAAATTACACAAAAATATCTTAAAATACTAAAGAGTAAATTTATTCAATAAAATTGCCATTGGCCTCAACCATGGCTTCCAGACAACTATGGAATCTCCTGTAACTCTTCTGGATGGTGAATGCTGCCATAATCCTTACCTTCAGTTCATCTTTGGTATTACAAGGAGTTTTGTTAGTCTCTTGCTCAACTGCACCCCACATACAATAATAAAGGGGGTTGCAGTTTAGGTGGCCAGATATAAAGGGTGATATGGTTGCAGAAATTGTCTGACAGTCATGACTGGGTTCTCCCACTTATGTTGCATAGTCCTGTTGCCAGACATATGATCTTTCAACAGCCATCCTCTTGACCCAGGGCAACACTATTTCCTGAAAGCACTTGATGTAGGCCTTCATGTTGAATCTGATGCCCTGTTTGTAGTTGAATGGAAGCATAATGTTAATATCACTAGTGTTCACCCAAACAGCATGATATTGACTGGATATATCACCCAACTCTTTCTGAATCCTCTGCAATGTCCTTAGATTGACACCCAAGTACTCTGAAATGTTCATATTGGAGCTTCCAGCACAAATCCCAAGTAGTACAGAATGCCATTTTCAAATTTATGGCAGAGGGAATTGTGCCATGGGGATCTTTTTTCTCACAGACAGTGCCTATCTGACCTACTGTACTGTGCAGTTGACAAAATTAAAAACAAACAATACACATGCACGAAACTAAAAATATAAAAAGGCGACAATTTACCCATCTCTCTCTCTCACTCTGTGTGTGTGTAAAAAATCTGAACTTGACATATTTTAAATTACCTGAACCTTTTTTGGGAGCAAAATTTCCACTAATATATACTCCCCACCATTAGCCTTGTACAACCAGCAGGCATTTTCAGCATTGAGCTTTCACAGTGAGTATGCATTGTTGGCCACTTCACTTATTCCAGTATGGTAAAACACGGTAAGCAGCTAGTGTTTTTAGTAATACTGATATTATCCTGTACATTTTGCTTTACCATGTACAATGTTCATTAACCTTGTTTTGTTTCTTTTCTGTTTCCAGGGTAACTGGAGGAGAGTTATTTGAGGATATAGTTGCTAGAGAGTTTTATAGTGAAGCAGATGCAAGGTATTGATTTATTTCAGTCTTTCTCATTTTTTGCTTTCTCTTAAAAATAAACCAATCATACCAACAAAATGCAACAATAACATTTCTTATTTGGCTGTCATTTATTGCTGAGGTTATTGTCATCAGCAGTTACCTTTAGTAGAAACATTTTTTTTTTTCCTGGCTGTAACCTTTTACATTATAGTACTGGACATTTATCTTCCCCCTTTTGAAAGGTTTCTATCATATTACAGAATCATCACCTTATTTTAGATCATTATTTATTATAATAATAAAAATAATAATTTTTATTGTTAAATGATTATTATAAAACATAAAAATAAATATACACTGGTATAAAATATTTCCCCCTGCCAATGGAAATGTTAAGCACTTATGAAACTTTTATATTTAATTAAATGGATTAAATTCATTGTCTTTATTTATTTTATATATATAATCATTATTGATTATATTTGCTCTACTCTGTATTGAGCACTCTTTTAACAATAGTATTTGTTGGTTATTGGAATTTATTCTGTATACACCAATCCTTTTACTTGAGATATATATATATATATATATATATATATATATATATATATATATATATATAAAGAAAGAACAGTAAGATATATAATCTGGTGTTCTTATGGATATTTTTATTTTTACAAAATAGTGCTCAATGTAAATTTACAGAGCATTAATATTATAAATTAATTGATTTAAAATATGGTTTTTTTCGCTACACAGTTCTAAGCATGTTTCAAAAATGGAAGCTAAAAGCTTCAAGTTTAATTTTGTAATTAAATTAAAGACATTAGTTCCATTTCATCCTCAAGCAAATTTTGGAGTAACTTATTTATTTATTTCAGAATTGTAATGACTAACCATTTTAGAGTCATGTGTTCACTACTTTTTTCATACATATTTATATATCTTCCTCACTCTTTATATCTGTCTTAATATATTCATCTCTCTCTCTCCCCATTTAAATAAGTATGAACACTATATAGGATCCTCTAATGAGAAAAGAACAGACATTAAGGATTTAGAAATAAAAACACTTGTAAGACTCATCTCATTCCTTTGATATCATGTGTTCAGCCCCTGGGACAAGTAGTGCATCAAATCTAGACTGTCAGATCAGCATCCTAAATAAGAAGTGGTGATTAAGAATTCAGAAATTCTTTAGAAAGGACAATGAGCTTAAAAGACAAATGAATGAGAAAAACATAATATTGTGGAACAAATAGAAAACTCAATTTGACATTTCCAAGAGCTTAATGAATGCAATAGATACTTGAGTAACACTGGCAGATAGAGCAATTGAAATGTTGTAATAAAGACAATAAAAAAATCAATGGATGATTTTAATTTTTTAATTTGCATCCATGTATTTCCAAGAGGAAAATATGACACTGATATTCGAGTGGTAATAGTAATATTAGCTATTTCCTTATAAGGAAACATTTGGCATTCATTGACTGAGCAGCCAGTACTGCTTTTGGTTGAAATTTATAAGATCTTTCTCTTAAAACACTTTTTTAGGAAAACAGATTTCTCAGGTCCAGTAACTGTTATTGCTCTTTCCAATATTGATGGAGGTTTCCTTCCTAACTTTCTACTTGAAATAGTGTGGAATGTCAATATATTGATTATGGCATTATTTTCTCTTCCAGTTGCATGTGATATCTATTTTACTTGTTGCTACTGTTGGTAATCCTCAAGTTATGTGGTTTCTGTTATTTGGTACAGTTCTTTGTGATTTTGTAGCACCAGTCCATAATGTCCAAAGAAGGAATTATTGCCAAGAGCCACAGGCTTTACTTCCTCAAAGACTTTTTTCATTATTGATCTTATGTAGCAGTTGTATACAGCTGACAGTTTAGATATTTCTGAACTGGTTTGACAAAATCTTGATTTGCTGAGGCTATTTAAGAACATGATTTTGAAGGTGCATTGGAATAGCAAAAGATGCCTTCCAAAAACTAAGCAAAGTATTAAGAAACAGGAAAATATTGTTAGAAACAAAGCTAAGACTGCTCAGCTGTTATGTAATATCACTCCTCCTATATAGCAGTGAATTCTGGACAATTTTCTCATGGGCAAAGAGATACTTGAGGCAAAAGAAATTATCAGAATAGTTGCCATACATAGCATAGTTGCTAGGTTAACCTTTTTTCATCTCAGTGATTTTTATAACTCAGAATTTTTGGAAGGGTAGCCTCAATCTGTCTTCTGTCACTGATAAAGGATATTTTAAGATTATGGCAAAGATCCAAAATACCCATTAGGGTTTATTTTGGTTTGGTTTTGGTAGATGAGGATAAAAAGAAAAAAAAAAACAAGTTTTTATTGTCTTGACCCAATCAACTCTTACAAGTGAACTCTGGCTTCAACATTTGTTTGTTTCTTACTTGAGAGTAACCCAATGATCTAACATATTCAGTTTACAAATGAAGTGTATTATCATCTATGAAATAACTGAACCGATCTCTAGTCTAGTGTGTATAATCTATACATTGTCTCAATTTACTGTAAAACTAATTGTGGGAAAAAGTGCCCAAGCTAGTAATGGACCACATAAGTTTAAAATCAATAAATGTCACTAATAGCTTTAGCACCAAAATATTTTAAGTCATTAGAATTCACAAAAGTAAAAAGAAAAAAAAAAAAAGAAAAATTAAATAATATTAAAATAAAATCAAACAAAAATGAAATAATTTAGTTTGCTTCTCTTAACCCCTTCCTCCGGCATAGACGTGTGTTTGTTTTTACCAAAACTGTCTTTTTCAGTCACTGACAAATAAACATGTCCAAAACATAACATTCAAAAACCAGCTACAGATGTGTTTATACATTGATCTTGATTCTTTTTATGCCCTTCTGAGCTTGAAATGAGTCCAATTGTCAACTCAACATCTGGTAGAGGTATTAGTCACTGCTCGGGTACTTCAGTGTGCTTCAATTTCTTATCTTAGTTATTATATTAAAAACAAATACAAAAAATTTGTCTGAAAATGAACAGTTTTCCCCAAAATAATTTGCGGAGAAGTGGTTAAAAGTAAGCTGGCGAAATTGTGATGTTTCCAAGCAAAATTGATTTATTCAAATCAACATAAGATAATTGACATTTTTGAACATAACTGCATAATTCTGTCAAAGGATATTTTATGGATTAGAATGCATATAAGATTTGTCATTCATAAATCCGGATCATCCATATTTTTGATCCATGCTCATTAAAGAAATATAGAATATTAATGGTCTATGTTCAGCTCCAACCCAGAGAATTGGCGAAGGCAGAAAACTGGCATCTCATAACTAGCTGCTCCAGATAGATGGAACTTGACAGTTCAAGAAGGCTGGAAAACTCTGATTTTAAACCTCCAACTGCTTTGTGGTCATATCCAAAACACAGAAAATGTTAATGAAAGTAAATCCAGATAGAAAATCTGGAGTGGAACCCTGAAGGCAGTTGGTGTCAACATTGACAACTTTGCAACAATTCCTGTAGACAAGCCATCCCCAAAATGCCCTGTATTCTTTTGGATCTTGTTGGTACAGCCGAGAGGTGGCCGATGTAGTTTCCATATACTATCACCAGTCTAGGAGAAGGAAAACTCTGAATTCAAGCCACCTGCTACCTTGTAGGTCTTTCCTCTTTACCCTGTCCCTCCTCTCAGAAGTTAATCTCAACAATCCCAGCAAAAGGTAGCAGCAAGCTATTGCATTATTCTGCCTTGAATGTCACCATGAACCAAAATTGTGAGATGGAGGGGAGTGGTGATCACAGCAATTCAAAATGTGCTAACTGAATAAATAAATAAATGAATGAATGGTAATACTAGCCATTTCTTTAAAAGTAAGTCATTAGCGCCAAAAAAAAATTTTTTTTACAATCTAGTATTTTCTGGCTTTAAATAACCAGTAAAAGGTTGATAAGCTGTAAAAAGAAAAAAAAAATCAATCACTCAATTAAATCATTGGAACTTGAATAGAGTGAAAAACTTACAATACCCTAGTTCATTCTAAATGTTAAAAGGAAGGCTGATAAACATACACACTATTAATAAATGTGAAAAATATTCTTTTACATTAGGTACCTCCACTTTTTTGTGAAAATATGGCATAGCATAATGAAAAAAGGCCCCAAATTCAATAAAAACAAAGATTTATCATCTAAATGTTATTATTAAGAGGAGAGATGGAAGTATTTTTTGAAATTTTGTAATCCTAGAAAGGATTCAAAATTTTGGTTGAAAATCTTGTTTAGTTTATGCCAGTGCTCAATGTAATAATTGTGGTTAGTTTTTTTGTGTTTTTTTTTTTCCAGTAAAAAACATTGATTTGGAAATTCTTGCAAAAATCAAAATAATTATCAGATTTTAATGAAATTTAAATTATTTTTTATTTATTTACTTTTTACTTTTTTTTTTTTTTTTTTTTTAAAGAAAATTTTGAAAGAAAAATTTTTTTTTTTTTTTATATGTTACCACCTACTTAGTTTCATGAAATTTCTAGAAATTCAATTTTTAGGGCAGGGATTTTTTTTATTAGTTAAAAGCTGGACTCCTTGGAGAATGTGATTTTTTTTTTTTTTTTTTTTTTTTTTTTTTTAAAACTGTTAACCCATTCATGAAAAATCTGGTGAATTGTAAAATAATAAATACAATAAAACTATGACATTATTTAATTAGAAAAGCTTTTAATTGCTTTTATAAATAAGAATTATTAAGGACACTATTGTCTTAAGAAGAATAATTAATTTTTACAAGAATTGTTTTCATTTTTTAAAATTTTAAGTAAATAATTTAAATTGTTTAAAATTTGGCATTACTTCAAGGCAGTTAGGTAATGTTGCTATTACAAATCAAAAATTGAAAAGTTAATTAAAAGTCGTTTTAACCCAATATTTTTAAAAGAATTTTGAATTTTTTTATGCATACATAACATGCCATGTTTGAAAGTATGTTTGACCATACCTGACATAATCAGAAAATAAGTGCCATGACTAG